GTATTAGATAAATTTCAGTAAGTGGGTTCAATAATTTTTTCCCTGTGCCATTAAAACATTATTACAAATAACTTCATTTCTGGACATTTATGGTTTGATTTCTTTGTATGTATGGATCACTTGGGTTGTTACCAACATCTGGTGAAAATTTCATATCATTAGCACATCTAGTAATAAATTTACTGAAAAAAATGGTGACGTGTTCAATACTTATTTTACCCGCTGTATCACTGGAGATAAAAAGTTCATGTGTGTGTGGCAACGGTGCCTTCATAATAACACATATAAAATGGTGACAAAAAAAATGTCCTGAGCAAAAAAAGAAGTGCAACAAATTACCTCCAACTGGGAAAATATTCCTTTGGGGCAGCTCCTATTTAAATCAACTAAATTAAATTACCTCTGCATACAAGGTTTATATGGTAATTATACAATCACTACACCACATATTATTTAGTTCTTCAGTCTCCTCTTCGGGATTATAATTCAACCTGGGAGTTTTTACATTTTTAATGATCATATAAAAGCAAACAACTGATTACAAATAAAGCGAGGAGCTTACGAGAGGAGCTGCACGGAGTCTGCGTGCAGCTTGATGCTCTGCTGGCGGTACTTGGAGAAGTCTCGCAGCATCTCCAGCGGCATCACGCTGATGGGGATCTGATCCCTGTCGGTCCAGATCTCCAAAGCAACGAGCACCACCCGTGTGTGCAGCTGGTCTTTGAAGATCTGCCATTGAAGCGTGCCGTGAAAGGAGACAATAAAAGACCGACAAAAAAGTGAGCGAGAGAAAAAGACAAGAAGGGAGGCGAAAAATCTAAAGCGGAACAGAGAGAGGAATAATTAGAATCTTTACTGAGGACGTAAAACGATGAACGATAATAAAACAATCTTATCCTGCTTATGACGCCTGATGCAAAGCAGTTATAAAGGAAATCTAACCTGCAAATAATGCTGATTAATGATAGTAATAATTTATGAAAAAGTTAGGATTAAGTCACAAAGTGGTCTGTGGATGAACAGATAGCTAGTGCACTGGTTAAAACATTTGCAACAACTGATTTTTGGCAAAATACAATGAATGACTACATTATCTATGGGTTGTTTAAATTATATATATTTAAAATTTAAGTTTTTTGAAGCCCCTTTGTTGAGCAGCAACAAAAACATAATTTTCTCTTAAATTTTTGTCGTTTCCCGAGCTAACAGTCTTTTTCTTTCCAGCTGCTAAATCCTGATATCCAAATATAGTTTGAGGTTTCCTCCTTATAACATCAAAGCTTCCTCTTTAGAATAACCTAAAATTAGTGTTCAGACCTAATATCMATGGTTTCTCATGATTAGAAAGACGCATCATGGCATATCATATCAGGACAAAAAGCAGGAATCTGAAAATGTGCTGAGTAAGTTGTTAACAAATTTGATGGGTCACAAATAGCAAAAGATATACTCACGCCGTCCACAAGGTTCACAACCGACTTGGCAAAATTTCTTGTGTGCTGCTTGTTTTTGTGCCGTTTATACTGCAGGCAGGACAAAAAAAAAAGATTAAGGAAAGATGAATGAGCTGCTGTATGATTTCACCTCATCTGCRTCATGAAAGAACTTTTTCAACTCCACTGTTCCCTCTTGTGGGGAAAAAAAAACAAGACTGAAATATTAATGAGAGAACGCGCCGCATTTCCTGACATTTAATCTTTGTTAACRTTTCCTGCCTCCGGTCAGTCAGGATCCCTGCTTTGTTTTAAGACAGGGAACTGTTAGCGAAATAGCAAACGGAGTGATTTATTACAGATGTTTGATATTTCCTCACATTTTCATAAAACCTTCTTTTCTCCAGATTAATGTTACATTTAAATAGTTTAAATTGAACCTCCGCTTCTTATCCTTGATTTGAAGGAGATGGGAGCTTGCAGAAACTTTATTATACTGTATTATGTCATATTATAT